TCTGGGAAGTGGGTCCACCTTTTCTGGGATACACCTGTTTAAACTATATTTAAAAATAATAAATTCTTCATGTTACAAACCTATAGAGCTTGTAAAATCTACAAAGAGCAGGCATGTGAAATGTTTTCATTTTAGAAATAGGTACATCATTAAAGGCTACCTACCTTATATATAGAATATGAAACATATTTTATTACTACTATCACTAATGGTTAGATTTATATTAATTAATGTCAAGATGACACTTGTATATATGTGTATTTGAGTATATATGCTAAGTCTGTTTTTTTCCTGTATCATAGAATCATAGAGAAGGAACCTCCAAAGGTCATTTAGGCCAACTCCTTCCCTGCCTCAGGCAATGTCATCTCTCTCCAAACCATCCCAAATAAATCCGTTATTTAACCTATTAGCAAAACTACACAGTCAACCCTGGCACAATCATGTGATATAACACCCTAATCTACCATAGGCAAAGCAGGGGGACCACAGTGTTAAAACATGCTCATAAGATCTGACCATTCCCATAGCTACAGATAACGGAAAAACCCCCAAAGTCCATTCCACTCTGACCATAGGGTAAAATTCCTTCCTGAGCCAAACATGGAAATTAGCTTGACCCTGAAGAGAGGGGCAAGATCCTCTAGTCAGGAACCTCTGGGTTTAAGTCCTAGCACAAGCACTGGCATCCCCTGGACCAAACCCCCAGTATTGGCTGCAGCCAACACGATGCTTCTGAGGCAGTCTTTAAAAGCAACAAAAGGAAAAAAAAATTCCCTCCTAGCCCCATGCAGCAACAAGCAAAGCCCAGAAGCATGGGAAATGTCCATAATGGAACATGGGTATAGCTATGCATAAGTCATTCCTGACCAGTGGCTTTCCAACCTTTTATTGAACACCTCCAGTGATGGAGAGCCCACAACTTCCCTATGTAGTCTATTCCACTGTGAAGAAAATTTTCCTGATATTCAATCAAAACTTACTTTGCTGTAAGTTCAAGCCACTGGTCCATGTCCTTCTCTCTGCAGCAAGAGAAAAGTGTCTTCCCTCTTCTTTAAGGCATCCCTTCAGGTACTTGAAGATTGCTATCATGTCCCTTCTTAAACACCTTTTCTGAAAACTAACTATTTTCTTCAACCTCTCATCACAGGACTTCCTTTTCAAGCCCTCTATTATTTTATCACCCACCTTTGGTCCTTCTTCAACTTCTCCATGTCTTTTTTTTTTTTTTTTTAAGGTGGAGACCAAAACTGCACACAATAGGTCAGGTGAGGGCTATTGCATTAAATAGAGGCAGTGTCGAATAGGGAGGCACTATTACCTCCTGTTTCTTGCACCTAGTGTTTCTACTGGTGCATTCCAAAACTACATTTATCTTTTGTGTAATGGCATCACACTGCAGACTCATATCAAGTCTGTTCTCTACCAAGACTCCCAGATCCTTCTCCAGCAGGGATTGTGGACTGCCCGCAGATGCCACTGACTGTGTCAGCAGCACTTTTTTGTAGGGGGTATACCACCATGCGCAGAGTGTGCATGTGTCACCCCTGTACCCAAGTACTTATTTTGTCAAAGGAGATTATGTGTTTAACATGATTTGTTCTGAGTAAATTCATGCTGAATGCTTTGGATCATTTTTTACTGCTGCTGAAGCTTGAAAATGGACTTCTTTAGGATATGCTCTAGTAACTTCCCAAATATTGAGCTGAGCCTAACCTGTCTGTATTTCCCTGAATCCTCCTTTTTGTCTTTTTAAAAGAGGGGCACTATACTGGCCCTTTTCCAGTACTCTGTTACCTCATGAAGCTTCTACAATTTCATAAATATTATTGCTAAAGGCTCTGAGATCACCTTCGTCACTTTCTTCAGTGCTCTGAGATCAAGTTCACTGAGACCCATCAATAGCTCTTTGATTATCTCTTTTATTATCTTATCCTTTAGCTTCAGCCCTCACCCCTTCCATATCCAAATAATCTTAATTAGGTGCCTGACTGCAGCTTAGTTTTTTGTACATACTTTTTTGGCTGACAGTGTATACATTAAACCTATATTTTTTTTTACTTGAATTATTAAATGTCTGAACTGGTACCTTTGTCTTTTTTAACAGAATTTCACTTTGTTTTGGAGTCTAGGCCAATTTCAATTTAATTTAACAGTTTTGTCATTCACTTTGGTGGGAACAGATTTGGGTGGGTTTTTTTTCACTGACAAACTATGATAAAAACTAAAAATCGCATGAAATGTTGTTTGATGCTTTCCTGGATGATCTAAATAAGATTTGGTTTTTATTTCATGGTCAATGGTATATTTATTAAAGCACTTTTCCAGTTCCAAAAGGCTTTAGATATGGTGTAGAATTGGAATGACATGTGAAATTAAATTTGCCATTGACAAGAGTGAATACAAATTGGCACATCTGTCTCAAAAGAAAAAAGTGTATCAGAAAGATAGAGGTGACAGCAAACTAATAAAAGACCTTCTGATGCCAAACTTCTGTCTCAGTGCTTTCATGCAGTCTACCAAAATAGCTAAACTTGGCAAGCAAATGCACTTATGTACTTTAAATTATCCAATTTAAATCAGATGGGATAAAAAGGATGTAAATCCCCCATTTGTTTTTGTTCCTGTTTAAATAATGTGGATTCAGATGTTGGATGAGATGAGTAATGCCCTAAAGGACTAAGGGCACTGGTACAGGTTATCTTTAAAACATTTTAAATCTGTGGAATGTTAGACAGTCATAAAGTTAGAACAGTTTCAGAGTAGTCACAGACCTGCACAACTATGATTTACCACTAAAGAAGCTGGCAAGCAGGGATGTGAGCAGGAGTTAGGACTCTATTCCTCCTCTGGGATAGAAAAGTGATGGGGAAGGTGGCATGTAGCTTGAAGTTGGAGAAAACACCATGGGTTCTGTGGCTTTCCTCCCTCCCCAGTAACAGAAGCCAAGCCAGAGCTGAGGGTAAGAAGGGAGAAACCTTGAAAAAGTGTTTGAAGTAAAGAGGGTGGGAGGAGAAGTAGAGAATGGACTGAAAAAAAGAATAAAAAAAATAAATAAAGGACCAAAATCTTACATGTGTCGCAGTGACTGGGATTCGGGTGGGAGAAGTTGGGTTAGAGGTGGCAGGAGTCATGCTGGGTGGGATGAAGGGCTGTCTTGGGCCAGGTGACTAGAGGCCGGGAGGATTAGAGGTGAGAACCAGGTGATTTGTGGGTCCATGGAAACTCAGGCATGATGCAGTGGCTGGTCCGCAGTGCTGGTGATTGTGGGTGGTAGTAGATGGCTGGGTCCTGGGGAACTGGCTGGCCCCATGCCAACCCACTCCAGTGAGCCCCCTGGCACTGCTCTCTCTGGGAAAGACTCGTAGAGCCAGGATAGAGTTAGGGGTAGGAGGGTTGTGCAGGCTGGGAGGGGGATGCTGAGGTGAGAGAAGGAGGTCTCACATTTCCATCATGGACAGAGAGAGGGAGGATGAGTCTGACAAGATCAGCCACCTGCAACAAACACTGATGAACCCCCTACAGTCTTGTCCCAGGTGGGGGGGGAGGGGAGTTAGGAGACCCCCAGCTTTAGCCCCCAAGTCTTCCATGGTCCCATCCTAGCCTAGGAGGGAGGGGCCTGATGAGAGGGCTCAACAGTCTGGTTCCTCCATGCCAGCTGCTTTCAAGGACACCTCCCAAACCAGACCTCATCCCCCTGCCTTATTCCAGGTCCCCAAACCTTATTCAGGGCTGCCTGAGCCTTTAAACTGGGCGCAAGGTGTGGGAAAACTTCAACTAAGCTCATGTTACCTGAGGTTAACTGAAAATTTCCTATATCCAGCTGGCCTTTTTCCCCTGTTCTCCTCTGGCCAAGCAGGTAGTGGCAGGGCAGGGAGAGAGAAGGCAGATTTCCCTCAAGCCCTTTCAAGTCCAAGTCATCCAGCTCCCTTATCAAAGCAGGATCACACCTTTCTAAACCACCTCAGGCACATGTTTGTTTTAGCTGCTCTTAGGACTCGCCAAGACACAGATGAGAAGATTCTACATGTACATTTTACACCTCTCTTAGTCATGTTTCAACACTAAGCCATCCTTATAATTAGACAGTTCTTCTTGGTATCAAGCTGAATTATCCTTGTTGCGATTTAAACATAATTTCTTATATGTCCTCTGCAGCTACAGGAAATAGCTTAATGTGCACCTCTTTATAGCCATCTTTCAAGTATCTAAAGAATGTTTCAAACTTTCTTTCTGAATCATGTTCCCTAGACATCTAATCTAAGATCTATGCTGGACTTTTCATAACTTTTCCATGTCTTTTTTTATGTGTGGTGCCCGAAATGGATGTAGTATTCCAGTTGAACCCAGTCTGAATAGAGAGGAAGAATTGCTTGTCTTGACTTGTAGGCAACATTCGTGTTAATTTAGCACAGCATGTTATTAGCTATTTTGTATCTTTTTGGCACCACTAAGAATGGTGAAAAAATTGAGATTTTTTTATGCATACTGTCTCTTATTAAGTTAGCGGTCCCAAATATATTAGGTAGTCAGAGTTATTCCGCATCATTTTTATGGTTTAACTAGTCTTTTGTTTTGTTTAATTCCTAAACCTATCTGCCATAATTTATCAGAAGCATAAATGTGAACAGATCAGGAGCTCAGAAGTACTCTGTTCACTGTCATTGTTCAGAATCTTTTTTGGATGTTTTCATTCCAGTCACCTAGGCAGATGAGTACTCCGGAGCTGAAAATATAGTGCCAGCAATTAACATGAAAAAAGTTAACCAGAGGAATATTGCTTAACATGGGAGAGACATACGAAGGGCTTGATCTGCAAATATCACCTTTATAGCTGGCTTCACTTGTGCAAAATAAGTGGTATGTGTGTCAAATATTAACTAATCAGACTGGTAGTTTTACAACCATTTTGCACTTTGTAAAATACTGCACATGGTGCATCTCAGTGGATAATCAGGCCCAAATTTAAAAGTTTAAAGGTTATTTTTTTTATCCCCTACCTATGAGCAGGTATTTTGCGGTTCCCAGCAATAAGGATAACATCACAGAGTTGCTGCTGCTTCAGGTAGCTTTCCATTTTTCTGAAGGTTTGTTCAGCATGGTGTACTGCCTGATAGAATTCCTCAGAGCTACTGGAATCTATATCACATGGAGGTGACAGAGGATGGCTGGCTGCTGACAATCTGTAAACCACAAAAAAATAGTAGGGTTGATGAAGTGTCTCCACATCTCTACACTTAACAGCCTCCAGAT